AGCATACAGGTTGAATAAGTGTGGTGAATGAATACAACCCTGATGCACACCTTTCCTGATTTTGATCCACTTAGTATCCCCTTGTTCTGTGCAAACCACTGCCTCATGGTCTTTGTACAGTGTCCTCATGACCACAATTAAGCGTCCTGGAATTCCCATTCTTTGCAATGTTATCCATAATTTATTATGCTCCACACAGTTGAATGCCTTTGCATAGTCAATAAAAGCCAGGTAAACATCTTCCTGGTATTCTCTGCTTTCAGCCAAGATCCATCTGATATAAGCAACGATAATCCCTTGTTCCACGTCCTCTTCAGAATTCAGCTTGAATTTCTGGCAGTTGCCTGTTAGTGTACTGCTGCAACCACTTTTGAATGATCTTCAGCAAAATTTTACTGGTGTGTGATATTAATGATATTGTTTGATAATTTCTGCATTCTGTTGATCACCTTTCTTTGGAATGGGCACAAATATGGGTCTCTTCCAGTCGGTTAGCTAGGTAGCTGTCTTCCAAATTTCTTGACATAGACAAGTGAACGCTTCCAGCATTGCATCCATTTGTTTAAACATCTCAGTGGGTATTCCGTCAATTCCTGAAGCCTTGTTTTTCACCAATGCCTTCAGTGCAACTTGGACTTCTTCCTTCAATACCATTGGTTCTTGATCATATGTTACCTCCTGAAATGGTTGAACGTCAACCAATTCTTTTTGGTACAGTGACTCTGTATTCCTTCCATCTTCTTTTGATACTTCCTGCATCATTCAATATTTTGTCCATAAAATCCTTCAGAATTGCAACTCGAGGCTTGAATTTTTTCTTCAGTTCTTTCAGCTTAAGAAAGGCCAAGTATATTCTTTCTTTTGGTTTTCTAACTCCAGGTGTTTACACATTTCATTATAATACTTTACTTTGTCTTTTCAAGCTGCCCTTTGAAATCCTCTGTTCGGTTCTTTTGCTTCCTCATTTTCTTCCATTTGCTTTAGCTACGCTACATTCAACAGCAAGTTTCAGTCTCTTCTGATATCCATTTTGGTCTTTTCTCTCTTTCCTGTCTTTTTAACGACCTTTTACTTTCTTCACGTATGATGTCCTTCCACAACTTATCTGATGTTCAGTCATTAGTGTTCAGTGCATCACATCTATTCTCCAGGTGTCTCCAAATTCAGGTGGAATATACTCAAGGTCATATTTTGATTCTCACAGACTTGTTTTAATTTCTTTAGATTCAGCTTAAACTTGCATATAAGCAATTGATGGTCTGTTCTGCAGTTGGCCCCTGGCCTTGTTCTGATGGTTGATGTTGAGCTTTTCCATCATCTATTATTCAAATTTACACACCAACCACTACCACTGAAGATGAAGAAATTAAAGATTTTTACCAACTTCTGCAGTCTGAAATGGATAAGACATGCAATAAGGATGCATTGATAACTAGTGATGATTGGAATGCAAAAGTTGGAAACAAAGAAGAAAGATCTGTATTTGGAAAACCTGGCCTTGGTGATAGAAACTACGCTGGAGATTGCATGATAGAATTTTGCAAGACCAGTGACCTATTCGTTGCAAATACCTTTTTCAACAACATAAAAAGTCGCTATACGCGTGGATCTCATCACATGGAAAACACAGGGATCAAATCAACTGCTTCTGTGGAAAGAGACATGGAAGAGCCTGCCTCCAATAGTCCTCATAAAACTTGTCCAAAGTCAACACAGCCGGAAAGTAATAGGGCTGGTTTCCATTTCAGAGCCTGTACTCTAAACAGCTAAGCTCTGCTATTCCTTTTATAAGATAGTTTTATTGAAAAGAATAATATGTCAGTGACAGTAAAGGAAATATAACAAGGAGAAAGCCACTCATTATCCCCCCATTCAGCATCATTGTTATTTTTGTGCATCCCTCTAGCCTATCTTCACGTGTTTCCACTTGGGGAAATCGGAGCGTCATGCTCTTTTGTTCCCATAGGCATTGTCATGGATTGAATTGTGTCCCCCTAAAATATCTGTCAACTTGGCTAGGTCATGATTCCCAGTATTGTATGATTGTCTACCATTTTGTAATCTGATGTGATTTCCCTATGTATTGTAAATCCTATCACTATGATGTAATAAGATGGATTAGTGGCAGTTATCTTGATGAAATCTACAAGATTAGATAGTGTCTTAAGCCAGTCTCTTTTGAGATATAAAAGAGAGAAGCAAGCAGAGAGACCTCATACCACCAAGAAAGAAGTGCCAGGAGCAGAGCACATTCTTTGGACCTGAGGTTCCTGTGCTGAGATGCTCCCAGACCAAGGGAAGACTGATACATCACAAGGACCTTCCTCCAGAGCTGACACAGAGAGAAAGCCTTCCCCTGGAGCCTGTGCCCTGAATTCGGACTTCTGGCCTACTAGACTGTGAGAGAATCAATTTCTTTTTCTTACAGCCATCCACTTGTGGTATTTCTGTTACAGTAGCACTAGATAACTAAGACAGGCATGGTCCAGGGGCTGAGCCATCCAAAAAGGGGAGTCAGGGCTTGGGGTTGGTGGTGACGTCAGTGGGGCAGTTCTGCCCTAGCTGGACAGTGGGGCAGTGAAACCAGCCCCAGGTTTGCATCTTATTAGCTGTTTGACCTGAGACAACGCATTTTCCCTATCTGAGCCGCAATTTACTTCTTCTTTTTTTTTTTTTAATTGCACTTTAAATGAAGGTTTACAGAACAAATAGTTTCTCATTGAACAGTTAGTACACATATTGTTTTATGACAATGGTTAACAGCCCCATGACATGTCAACACTGTCCCTTCTCAACCATGGGTTCCCTATTAGCAGCTTTCCTGTCCCCTCCTGCCTTCTAGTCCTTGTCCCTGGACTGTTGTGTCCCATTAGTCTTGTTTTGTTTTATGGGGCTGTCTAATCTTTGGCTGAACGGTGAACCTCGGGAGTGACTTCTTTACTGAGTTAAAAGGGTATCTGGGGCCATACTCTCGGGGTTTCTCCAGTCTCTGTCAGGCCAGTAAGTCTGCTCTTTTTTTGTGAGTTAGAATTTTGTTCTACACTTTTCTCCAGCTCTGTCCAGGACCCTCTGCTGTGATCCCAGTCAGATCAGTCAGTGGTGGTAGCCGGGCACCATCTAGGTGTACTGGACACAGTCTGGTGGAGGCCATGGAAGTTGTGGTCCATTAGTCCTTTGGACTAATATTTTCCTTGTATCTTGTTTTCTTCATTCTCCCTTGCTCCCAAAGAGGTGAGACCAGGGGAATATCTTAAATGGCTGCCCACAGGCTTTTAAGACCCCAGATGCTGCTCACCACGGTAGAATGTAGAACATTTTCTTTATAAACTGTATTATGCGAATTGAGCTAGATGTTCCCCAAGACCATGGTCCCCACAGTCCTCTGCCCAGCAATTCGGTCCCTCGGGGAGTTTGGATGTGTCTATGGAGCTTCCATGACCTTTCCTTGTACAAGTTGTGCTGGCTTCCCCAGTACTGTCTATTGTCTTACCCTTCACCAAAGTTACCACTTGTCTATGGTCTATTTAGTAATTCCCCCACCCCACCCCTCCTATCCCTCGTAAACAACAAAGATTGTGACCTTTTTTGTGTAAACTTTTTCATGAGCTTTTACAGTAGAGGTCTCATACAATATCTGTCCTTTTGTGATTGACTTATTTCACTCAGCATAATGTCCTCCAGTTTCATCCATGTTATGAGATGCTTCACAGATTCTTCATTGTTATCGTTGCATAATACTCCATCGTGTGTATGTACCAAAAAATAAAACACAGATCGTTCTGTTCACCACCAGATGTTGTTGTGAAAATTAAATAAACTTGCATAGTGCCATCTAAGTGCAGTGCCATGCAAAAGGTAGGAATTATTGGTATTGTTCTAGTCCCTAAACTTGAGTCTAAAAAGCTAGGTCCCACAGTAACAGCTGGTTTTGTTTAGAGATACACAGTTTACCTGACAGAATATATATTACTGGAGACCCACAGCTCGTGACATTATGTCCTGGCCCCATCGGATATGCTGGTAACATGAGGCAAGTCAGCAGCACCCCTGGAACTTTAGTGCCCCTACTTGTGCTTCTCACACTTTGCTGCACATTGGAGTAATGTGAGGAACTTTTGAAGTGTAGTGATCTCTGGGCCTTCCCCAAACCACCAGAGGGTGAAGGGCCTTGAATGCTGGGGAGAAGAATTTGGTTTTATCTGGGAGGCAGTGGGGAGATAGAAGGATTTGGGCTAAGAAGCATGGACTTTATTCAGGTAACTGACAGTCATAAGGGTTTAAAGCTGGGAAGTGGCATGGCCAGGTCTGTGTTTGGTAAGACCCATGGTGAGGGGTCTGGAGGCAGCCTGGGCTGGAGGTGAACTGTGCCAGCCACAGGCCCAGCTCAGCAAATGTGAAGTCCTCACAGCGTCTTGGCACATGATCTCTGGGCGGCACAGTCAGTGCCCCGCAGATGAGGGCTCCCATCTGTAAAACAGGGAAGGATGCGCATATGTCCAAGTGCTGGAAGGGGAAGCTGTACGTGTTGGAGTGTGAGTAGGAACTGAGGAGGGGAGCATCTTTAGCTTCTTCACATGTTAAGGGAAATTTCTAGTCTGCCAAGCCCTTTTGTGTCTGAATTCTCAAGGCCCCCTCACAGCAGCCGCAGGCAGAGGCCGCAGGTATCATCATCATCATCACCTCATTTCCTGGGTGAGGACACTGAGGCTCAGAGAAGGGAAGTGACCTGTCTAAGGTCACACAGCTAGTAGGATTAAAGTTGGGTGTTTCTGACTCAGAATGTCAGACTGCACTGATCACAAGAGACTATCGTGTCCGACCATGGCATTTTACAGATGAGGAGGCTGAGGCCCAGAGAGGGGAAGAACCTGCCCAGGGCACGGTGTGAATCTGAGGCAGAGCCAGGACTAGACCCAGGTCTCTGACTTCTTGACCCAGCCTCTTGAAAGCTGACCCACTTCACTGAATAAAATAAAATTCTCTTTCCATCTTGTTTTCAGGGAAGCCAGTTCCTGAACTTAAGTCTCCCATTCTCTTCCCGGACACTGTGAAGCCAGGAAGTCCTTTGGCAGCTTCCGTGAGGAACACCACAGATGAGCAGAAGAGGCAGCCTGTGCAGCCGGCCACCTTCCCGGGCCCAGGTAGTGTCAGTCTGGTTCCTCAGGACCCTAGCATGGGTTGCCCTGCGTGTGCTGTGGGGGTGCCTGGCTGTCTCACCGTGTGCTCCGCATAGGCCCCTGTCTGCACAGTGCTGGCTCTCACTGCTGTGCGATGGGAGGTGAGGGGTATTGCCCGCCCTGTCACCTCTCTCGTCTTCCAGCCACAGATCTGTTGCGTTGTCCCACAGTGCCTGAAGCACAGAGAAGGGAAATGATTTGCCCAAGTTTGCACAACTAGGAAGTGGTGGGCCCAAATTGGCGTTTGAGCTGTGTGATTTGAAAGCTCATGGTACTAACCACCACACGCACTGCTATTCCAAAGTCTTCAGACCATTTCAGATTTGTCTCGTCCCCTTGTGCCTGGGGCAGGGACGGGGTGGGTTTGCACAGAGAAGGTGCTCGGGGACCAGTTGCCAAATGACAGGACTCAGCCAGCGGGTGACTTCCCTACAGGGTAACCACTGCTCACACCCACGTCTCCATTCTCACCGCCTGTGCCCTGGAGCCCAGCCTCACTTCTGCTCTCCCACAGGCTCCTGAGTGGTGAACCAAAGATCCCAAACCCATGAGAGTTCAGTGTACTGATGCTGGCAGTGGTTGAGAGTTGCATACGGGGGATTTGCATTAGACAGATCTGTATCGAACCCCAGCTCTGCCACTTTCTAGCAGGAGAATTACTTCACTCTCTGTGCCTCATTTTCTTTATCTGAAAAATGGGGATAATAATAGAACCTACCTCGCCATGTTGTGATAGGGAACCACATACCTCAGTGGTGGCACCAAGTAAGTACTCATTAAAGTTAGCTGGTATTAGTAACATCCCAAAAAATGACCCGACACCCCAGATAGGCTGAGTCTAGAAAACTAATTCCAGGCCAAGGAGTCTCAATTGTTTCCTGGAGCTAAAGATTAACGAACAAATAAACAAAAAGTGGAGAACTTTGATCAGCAAGTAAAGATAAAGGACAGTGGCCCTAAAGCAAACGTGATGGTGGTTGATGGCCAAAGAGACAAATAATAATAAAATAGAGAAATTCTAGGGCGTGCTGGTCAGGATGGAGGAGGTAATGGTCGCATCATTTCCTTCTGCTGTTCCTTATCTAGGTTACAGTAAAATGCCATATGCTTCTATCTGCCTTTGTACTGTTCATTCTCTTGAAGGGCCCTTAGATGCAAATGTGCCCTGATAGGTCAAGATGATAAATATAATCCGCACAGACAGGAAGTCGATTGTCTATTTTTGCCCAAGCTGAAAATAGGAGAGTAATCATTAATTTCATCAAATAACCCTACGCCTATCTTCTCTTGGGAAAACCCAAGATTTCACTGGGCCCCAGAGTTCACCCGGCTTGATTATCTTGAAGAATTTCTGTGGGAGTGGAGAACGCGGTGGCGGGGGTGGGAGTGCATATTGAAGTGGCAACACTTGCTGAGGACCCACCTACTGTGCACAAGACACTAAGCGGAGAGCGTCTAGTGCAGGAGCTCATGGAGTCACCCCGACAGCCCAGGGAGGCGGGGCTGTCCCTATCCCACTTTGCAGCTGGGGACAGATAAATAACCTGCCAGGCCTTCCCGGCTGAGTAAGTGATGGAACCAGGAGTCAACTCAGGCAGTTTGCCCCAGAGCTCACATCTCAACCCTCAGCCTCTGTGATGTCTCCCCCTCCTCCACACTGGTGGGAAGGAAGTGGGAAAGTGACATGAAGGAGGAACACACATGAGCATCTGAACTGTGGACAGGTTCTAAGTACCGTATAAATAGGTTCTCACACCTGGAATCCAGGTAAAAGGGCTTTGAGTAGCTGAAGTCACTGCTACAAAGCTATGGGGGAGCCCATTAGGCTGTTAGTATCTATTTACTCTTAGTCTGCACATAGTTTTATCAGCCTTGGTAAAATACTGAGTATCCCACCTGAGCCTGAGACTGATCTTTGTGCTTTATAATCATCATCTCTTTTAATCTGGACAAGAACTCTTTGAGGAACAGACTATTATTATTCTTTTTAATTTGAGAAAGCTCAAAGGAATGAAGCACAACTTACCCAAGGTCAGATCTTTAGTAATGACGGAGCGACGATTGGAGCCCAGTTCTGTCTGATGCCAAGAAAGGAGACAGAGAAGCTGTAGAGGTGAGGCCACTGCCAGTAACAAGGCAGAAAACCCAGCATTGGACATGCTACTGCTGCATGTGTCATACTTGCATCTAAGGTGACACAGCTCAGCAGGACGAGATTCGATGCATTCTGCTTGGAGAAACAGACATTAGAGAGTTTTACAGGAAATTGTTTTTTTAGTAAAAGCTCCAGCACACACGGGTTCAATCTTAGTGTTTTGGAAATGACATTTACAGGGACCAGTGCCTTTCCTGGCCTGGCTGGGTAAACACAGCATCGAAACCTGTTGTGGCACCTTCGATAAACATCTATGAAGCAAACGCCAGACACCAAGCTCAGTGCTAGGTATGGGCTAACACCTGCCAGCTTGTCTTCCATTCTTTTCCCATGGGGAGGTTTTCTTTTTCTTCTTGTTTTGAACATTTTATTGTGTTTTAGGTGAAAGTTTACCCAGCAAATTAGCTTCCCATTCAATAATTCATACACAAATTGTTCTGTGACATTGGTTGCTATCCCTACAATGTCTCAACACTCTCCCCATTTCCACCCTGCCTTCCCAGTTTCCATCCATCCAATTCCTTCCCCCGCTTACCTTCTTATCTGTGCTTTTGGGCAAATGTTGCCTGTTTGGCCTTGTATAGTTGATTGTTCTAAGGAGCACATCCCTCACAAATGTTATTGTTTGTTTTATAGGCCTATCTATTATTTGGCTGAAAGGTGACCTTTGGGAGTGACTTCAGTTCTCCAGGTTAAAGGGGTGTCTTAGGGCAATAGTCTCGGGAGTATTGCCAGTCTCCATCAGTCCAGTAAATTTGATCTGTTTTATGAATTTGAGTTTTGTTTTACGTTTTCGTCTCATTCTAACTGGGACCTTCTGTCGGGTCCCTGGTCAGAGTGGTCAGTAGTGGTAGCCAGACATCATCTAGTTCTTCTGGTCTTAGGCTAGAGGAGGCTGTGGTTCACATGGGCCATTAGTCCTATGGACTAATTGTTTCCTTGAGTATTTGGTTTCCTTCACTCTCCTGATGGGAGGAGACCAGTAGTTGTATCTTAGATAGCTACTCACAAGCTTTAAAGACCCCAGATGCTACTCACCAAACTAGGATGTAGAACATTATCTTTATGAACTATGTTATGCTAATTGACCTAGATGTCCCCTGAGACTATGGTCCCGAGCCTTCAAACCCAGTAACTCAGTCCCATGAGGTGTTTGCATATTTCTAGGAAGTTTCCATAACAGTGCCCACTATGTGCTCTATTATATATGTGAATATATACGCAGCACATATAAATACGCATATACAGATGCCCACAAGTATACCTACATATGCACATGCATGTTCTCCCACACACAAAAGGTCATCAGTTCGAATCCACCAGCTGCTCCTTGGAAGCCCTATCGGGCAGTGATACTCCATCCTGTAGAGTCCCTATGAGTCGGAATTGACTTGACAGCAACAGGTTTTTTGGATTCATCTACTTACGTAGCCACTCACAAATTTTTGGTTGTTGTTACTGTAGTTGCAGAACTGTGTATGTTACAGCATTTACCGTAGTTGTTCTTTATTCTTGTATCTCTCAGTGTCTTCACTTACCTTGTTCACATCAGGCTGACTTCCCCCATATTGTGTATTGCCTTTCCCTTCACCAGAATTAACATGTGTCTATTATCTAGTAAGTGATTCTTCCCCCTTCCCCCTCCCATCCCTGGTAACCATCAAAGAATGTTGCTCTCTGTGTGTAAACCTATTCTTGACTTTTTATAAAAGTGATATCATATAATACTTGCCTTTATGATTGACTTATTTCACTCAGCATAATATCTTCCAGATTCATCCATATTATGTTTCTCTTTCTTTTCTTTTTTATTAAGAAAAGTTTCAAACCTACACAAAGGCACAGAACGTGGTACAATGAGTCCCCATGTACCCATCACCCAGCTTCAGTGGTTATCAACACGTGGCCCATCTTACTCTGCCTACTATCCTGGCCCATTTCCCACCCCCTCCCCTGGATATTATTTTTAAACATTTTACTATGGAAAAATTTCAAACTCATACAAAAGCAAAGAGGAGAGTCTAATGAACCCCTACATACCCATCACCCAGCTTCAGCAAATGTCAACTTGTGTCCAACTTCTGCTACTTCGAACTAAATCCCAGCGAGGCTCTGTGGCCCCCGTGGCCAGATAATCCCTTCCTTCTCTCTGCCCACCCCTTGGACACACAGGGGACCCCGTTCCCTTCTGTCCAGTCTCTTCTGTTGATGCCTTGACCAAGTCTCATTCCCTCCCTGACACTCACACCTGTGACCCTGCCGCACAGGTGGGCAGAAGGAGGATTTAAAGATTGTTGTTTGGAGCATCCCCCACCACAGATAGCCACCCCTAAGCATGAGGTACTGATTAGGTCCCAAAGGAGCTGAGGGAAGGGAGGAAGAAATGGAGAGAAAGGGCTAGTTGTTCCTATCTGGTTTGTCTGCTTGAGGTATTGGCCCAAATCCTAGTCCTTTTTTTCTCAAAACCACAGGATAAATAGACTCACACAGTCCCCCACTAGTATCCCCCATCTGTTGCAAGAGCAGACTGCAGACATCCCCCTGACCGGCGAGGCCTGGTCCAGCCCCCAGGACAAAACCCCAGACATTGAGTCAGACCAGGAAATTGTAGCTTGTGTGAGACCAGTGCAGACCCTGGACTAACTGGGCAAAGGGAAAGGACAGAGAGACCTTGGTCCCAGTGAGGTCTCTGCCCTGTGGCCAGGCGCTGGGGTGGGGAAAGCAGATAGGGCAGAACTCAGGGAAAGAGCAGGAGGGAAGTAGAGTTGGCACAGAGCAGTGAGTTTGCAGAGTTTGGAGCCCCAGTGGT